GATCGCATCAATAACCATGCGATCGCGTAGTGCAATTCTGGAGGGGGACCAAACCCTTCTATGCGATCGCATAAGCTGTCCGCGATCGCACAGTTCAGCTTTCACCTCTTCTGCGATCGCAATACCTTGGCTGCGTTTGCATTGAACAATTTCTGGACCTTCCAATTTTACTCTTCTGCGATCGCATTACTCCTTATGCGTTTGCATAGACCATTTTCTGGGCTTCCCATTTTTTTCTCTATGCGATCGCATGCCTACTCCTGCGATCGCGTAGAACAAAATCCCTGGGCAGATATAAACATTTCAAAACGAGGGTTTAGCCATTTTTAACAAAACTCAAGCTAGAGAGCTCGGATTTGTGAGAAATTTCGAAGGTTTTTCAAGAGCAACGATTGGGTAACGATTTTCTACTCTCTTATGCTTATTACCCACTAATCTAATCACGAATTCATCTTCAAATCTCGGATTTTTGAATGAAAATTTGTAAAAGTTCATAGACCAAACTATTTGGTTTTGAGGGGGTATTTGACCTCCGATTTGGGAGATTTTTATATGGTTAGACTCGTGGGAGTACGAGGGTTCTGAAAATGTGAAAATTATTCGATTTCGAGACGTTGGCTGGAGGGGCATTTTGGTCATTTTACCTATTTTCGCACCCTAGCTTTAAATTTAATAGTGGAATCAGTTGTTTGCAATATTATTTACGATGCGTAATTGAATTGAATAGATTTGGGCCATTTGGAGTCAGATACTCGTGGCAAAGGCGCGGTTTCTAGTGATATTGAGCCGGTTCGAGGTAAGTGGCTTGTCTAACCTTGTGTGGGGGACCTTTCCCCTTAGGATTTTACTTGATATTTGAGTGCCTTGTGCGTGAGGTGACGAGCGCGTACTTGAGCCGATTGATGAAATCCCGTTTTTTTTTTACTTAAGCTATGGAAACTTAGTTCTTATCCTTATTTGCTTTGTTCTACTTGGAGATATGACTTATGCTAGATTAGGAAAAGCATGTTTAGCTGATTTGACTGCCTACTTGCTTAAATTATTTTGACTGCACTACGTGAAGCATGCTAGGCTAGTTCTATCCGTGTTCGTCTTTCGTACCTTATTCCTTGGTTTGTTTTCTGGCTGTGATTGCACATTTACATTGGGACTACGGATGTGGGATTCCGGTAGCTCCCCCTTGTTTGTTTACTTGGGACTACGGGTTCGATTCTCGGGAGATCCCCCTGTTGCGACCAAAAATACCCACGCAAGTGCACGTGATCGTCAAGTAATAGAGTAGTGAGTAGAGTATCGTTCCCTCGAAGACTTGTGATCAACTATTGACTGATTCAAACCCAATTACTTTACTTATTCAAGAGATGTGTCACAAAATAAAGATATATTTATTTCACTACCTAAATTATCAAGAAATAATCTAACTAAAGCAATTAACCAAACGAATAGCAGTTTCGAATAACACACAGTAGGAGAGGATATTCCAGGGTCACGGGCTAGTTAACAATCTTGTTGTGTCCTTAGCTTAAGATGACTAATCGATTTATCTGGGTTATTGATTGACAAGGTTTATATTACTCGTAAGAATCTGTCGAGTTCTTACTCGCCTGCTCAAGTTAACTCAATGCCTATATTTCTATGGAATTAAGATTAACAAGAACGCATTTACAATTCCTGTATTTTAACCAAGCAAGGCAAGTGGGTATATGTCTATCCCAATTGCAAATCCGTTCCCCGAGGCCCGGGTTCAAGAACCTGCTCTATTTAATCCTATATGCAACCTAGAATTCCCACTTTCGAGTTCAATTCTAGATTCATAGATAGTGTTTCACTGTTAGCTACTCAGCAAAACAATTAATAACAAAATTAAATAAACAACCCAATATGATGAACCAACTTTGTCAAATTAAACCTCAAACAACAACATTCATGTTTCACCCATGACCCTAGAACAATGGGTTTTAGACACTCATTTAGCCACTCATACTATTGTTCATCACAAGTATATTCAATTTCATCATAATTAACAAAAACGAAGAGAAGAAAAGAAAAACTTGATGATCCAATTTCCTCCTTGCCTCTTGCCTCTCTCTGTCTTGCTTTAGCCTATGAAAACCTTGACAAAAACTTCCTTGGGCGAGCTTGACCTTATATAGGTTAAGTGAATTTTTTTTCTCCAGATTTCCACTTTTGCCCCTAATGAACCATCGCCGGATTTTGGACTAGCGCTGCAGCGCATTTGACCGCGCATTTGGCCGCGCTAGTTTGCTGAGGTTCTGTCTTGGCCAAGCATTTATTAGCGCTGCAGCGCATTTGGGCGCGCTAGCCCAGTTGTGCTGTGGCCTTGATATTTTGCCTTGTCTTCAACTATACAAAACTCCGAGGGATCTTTGTTGCTCCAAAATGGTTCCAAATCGCATTTTCTAGCATAATATAAGCTTCTTACCCTGAGATATATACAATTCACAATTAGAGCCCATATTTCATCAATTAATCATTATATGACCTTGGAATATAATCAAGCGAAAGCATACATAATA